CCCCCATGTCTCAGGGTTTAGTTGTTCCCTGCCTTGTTTTGATGGTTATCTGTTTGTTTGTTTGTTTGTTTCCGTGGTGACAGTGGATTGCTTGAGTCTGCATGACACGTGTGTCAGTGACAACACACCTTGCATGTCCACAAGTGTGTTTTGTGTGTCTGGTCATGGAGAGACAGAGGCGGGGAATCTTTGTGGGAGGAGGAGAGAGTACAGAAACGGAGATGTCGGAGAGAGAGAGAGTCAGAGACACAGAGAGAGAGGGAGAGTGGTTTGCTTCTTTTGTGGTATGAAACATCTGCCATCCATACATTATTATCATGTCTCTTTTTTTCCCTTGTATGTTACGCTCTTGTAACACCTCAAATCTTTGTCACTTCTCTGACCTGATTGTTTTGCAAGTGCCGTAAAACTCTTCCTCAAACTAAACTATATTTCTAGTTGTAGAAATATGATGACTAATCCCTTGTTTGACCTAGAGTAAGGCTGACAATCTACTGCCACGCACTCGGAAGTGTTGATGCCGTAGGTCAGCGCGACTCCGTCCGACTGTGGAAAAACATGGCGCTGAGCAGACGTGAGAAACTTTGTGTGGTGGGTGGGGAGAAGAAGACAATACACTAAACTGTATACAGCGTTCTGTACAGGAATACACTAAACTGTATACAGCGTTCTGTACAGGAATACACTAAACTGTATACAGCGTTCTGTACAGGAATACACTAAACTGTATACAGCGTTCTGTACAGCATTCTAAACAGCGTTCTGTACAGCATTCTAAACAGCGTTCTGTACAGCATTCTAAACAGCGTTCTGTACAGCATTCTAAACAGCGTTCTGTACAGCATTCTAAACAGCGTTCTGTACAGCGTTGTGGGAACTGGTTTTTGTCCGCTGTGTTGTAGATCCATTCTGTGGAGAGAAGTGCCACCATCAGTCGTTTGTCGTACGTTCTCCATCTTGGCAGGAAGTCAACAGAACGGGCGTTGTACGCATGTGTAGACAGGCCAGCCTGTGGTGAAGTGTACAGCTCAGTACCCCCCATTTTATCTCCACGGCATCCCGGAACACTCCAATAGCAGGGCGAGCCTGTCCACACGTGAAGAAGAAGTGCTGGATGCTCGCACGTCTTGTAGGGTCCTCCCGACTCCTCACGTCTGGTCGTGTCAGGGAAATCTCCGGTAGGAAATACACAGGACGGCACGACTTTTTTCTCAGCGCACTTCAGTTGTGCGTGGCAGTGTGTGTGTTCAGCCTAAGACTAGTGTGTGTTCAGCCTAAGACTTGTGTGTGTTCAGCCTAAGACTTTGTGTGTGTGTGTGTGTGAGGAACTTTGTTCTAGGAGACAGCAGTGCTGAGATTTCTGTCCTAGCTGTGCTGTGTGTGCGTCCAATAGTTTTGTGTGTGCGTCCAGTAGTATGTGTTGTCTGTGTGTCCAGTTGTCTGTGCGTCCAGCCGTGCCCGGGCGGGAGGTAACTCGTGTCTCCTTCCTCTCCATGTTTCCAGTCGCGGGGACGGAGTGTCGTTTGCCTCACGTCTGCAGCCCACCATCAGCTATAACACAATGGGCAGTACTCCCAGGTTAGCTACATGATGTCTCTCTCACACACACACACACACACACACACACACACACACACACACACGCTCACCCACACACACACACACACACACACACACACGCTCACCCACACACACACACACACAC